ATTACGGCGAGTGGAACAAAAATAACAAGTCCGCAATTAACATGGATATATAAATTATGCAAAAATAGAAAAGAGTGAACTTTGAGGTCATGCTGTGCGACTTTGAAAGCCGTTAGAGAGATGAGTGGACGCATTTGAATTAGTAGTATACCAAGGTATCCAGTGCTGTAATTTTACCCACAAACGGACTTGAAGTTTTTAAGCTAATGTTTTTAAAACCACTTTTGCCCAAAAAAGCATATTTTTGACCCAAAATCAAAAACGCATTCTGGATATTTAAAATAAAGACAAGTTTTACAAAGTTTGTATAATAAGCTTTCAGAAAATATATAACATGTTGGATATATAATACCATCTTCATTGTCTAATTACTCAATTAAAAAGCAAGCCAAATAAACTGCATCTCTACCTTAAAAACATTGGCCCAAATAGTTCAGTACCCAACACAATGTGTACTGAAAAATACCATGGGAAACATTGCCCAGGTAGTTCAGTACCCAACACAGTGTGTACTGAAAAATACCATGGGAAACATTGCCCAGGTAGTTCAGTACCCAACACAGTGTGTACTGAAAAATACCATGGGAAACATTGCCTTGGTAGTTCAGAACCCAACACAGTGTGTACTGAAAAATACCATGGGAAACATTGCCTAGGTAGTTCAGTACCCAACACAGTGTGTACTGAAAAATACCATGGAAAACATTGCCTAGGTAGTTCAGTACGCAACAATACACATGTATTATACGTAGCCCATATATAACATACAGGAAAGTGGGAAAAATAAAAAAAATAAAAATATTCACACAAAAATTCATAACTTTCAGAAAAATAGAGATATCTTCACTAAATGAATACACTAACAAGACATGAAATGTCACAGTCCCCGTTATTTGATTATAAAGTAGTACAAGGAACATCTGCAAACAGGTGAATGAATATGTACTCTATGTGGGTACAACTCATCATAAAGTGATTTCCCATAATCTAGTTTTGTACTGACAACTAAAAACTTCCACTGACCCATGTTCAGAATCTCGGAGTACACAAGTGCAACAAAACTATTTGTCATACATGTATACTTGCTCAAGAAACTGCATTCATAAATCTGAGTGAACCTTGATGTACATGACTTCTTTGTTAATCAGGTCTTAGTATATTACCAGGACCTGGGTTTGTTTCAACATCACCACTGGGCATCAGAATCATTCTCATGTTGTCAAATACAATTTTTTATTAATACAGTAAGGTTTATTATTTAAAATGTATTCATTGTACATAGAACAACATCTGTTAATTTAAACAATTGTAAAAGCTATGTTTTCAGAGCAAGTACATGTAATAATTAAGGAAGCCAGTAAAGGTTGGTCTGCTCATAACCTTCAATGGAGAAGTAACAATAATTGTTTGAAGTCTTTTTAGTGCAGTGATATTATTGCATTTCATCATTATTAATGGGTATAAAATACTGTAAACCATTTAATTTTCACTTCTAGATATATTCAGGATTCTATGAAATTTCAATAAAGTCCCTGACACTCCATGTTGTAGGAACCCAGAAAAAATTGCCTTGCAAAATTGAAGCAGTTCACAGCACCACTGTAAAAAAAAAAAAAAGTTTAAAATGAGTATTGTTAAAGATATACACATGTGGGTTCATAAGACATTGTATAAGATTGTATGGCAATTACATGGCTTCACCAGTTTTACTCTGGAAGAAGTTGGAAACAGATAACAGGAAGGGGCTACATGGCTACATCTTTTTTTTTTGAATTTGAATCAAGCATGATTTTTAAATTTTTTTTTTTACAAATGTCTATTTCAGGGCAACAGAAACAAAAACAATAAATGTGTAGGTAGGCATTTTAACAATTGCACTATTAATATTGGATGAAAACGTCATTACCGATATAAATCATAATTCTGTTCAAATTAAAAATAAGATCACATTTAATTTAGTCAGTTTTCATAATTACATAACATGTACTTATAAATTTGAATAAGGTTCAACGGCTTTTTCATTTAGTGCCAGTTTATACACCATAAAACTTCTGGTTTAGGTGTCACACTCAAAGAGTGAAAGGCCTTTGGTTTGGCATCGCGAAATGTTGGAATTGAATCCCCCCAAAAATTCAGTAAAGTTTACGAAAAGTAAAGTATTTTCTAAAAGAAGTTTCGAATAAATACAAACACGAATACATTGCTTAGTTGTTAGTACCGGTAGCAAATGATCACGGTAGCACAATCTGGTCATTCTGTGTTTCGCAAGTGAATAACTTACTTGTTTTCGAAGTATTGCAATTGTTTATTATTATTCAGTAATGATTATAATACGCACAAAAAAATAATTCGTTGAATTTTTATGAATTGGAAGTAATATTCACTTAGTTTCATTGTAAACGAATGATTTCGGTCGAATGTAAATGCGATGCGATGCGATATCCGCCATGTTATTTCAGTACACGTGGTCATTTAAATATGTTAATGACTGCTCAGTGACCTCGTGGTGAACGCAACAGGGGATTCACCGATGTTTAGCAAGATCTTTATGCTTTGATTTTGACGGGGAAAACGGCATGATTTTTTTTAAATCGAAAAATTAGTTGTTTTCAAAAAAATAAACTGAGCATTCAAAGAATAATTTAACATTGTTCACAGAAATAACAGCCCATTGTCGAAA